ATGGTTTCTCATTTGCAATATGGACATGATACAGGATTGTTAAATGAGTTTCACAAGGGAATGTAGGAGAAGCCTTTTGAAAACCCTAAAGCATTAGATAGGTGGTAATTAGTGTTGCTAAATTGTCTGACGCCTCATGGGGAAAGTCATCTATAAAATGCAAGGGTGTTAATAGAATTAAGTTAGACACCACAACAAATTGATCACTTGTCAACAAGCCCCTGCTCCCTACCATTGGCTGAGCTGATGTGATGTCACAGAATATTCACAAACATTCTAGTGGCTGGGAGGGGAAGGATATGTTGCAGAATGCTGTAAATTACTGCAGCAGCTCCATTGGGAGTTTTGGCTAAGGAGAAACCCCTCCTATGAACAGAGCCTAGTGTTGATGTGCTGCCAGGGAGCAGATAAATTTTGACTGACTTCCACATTCAAAGCAACATAATTCTAATGAGCAGAGACAAACAACTGAGGGTAGCTTAGCTTTAACCTTATTCAGCTTCTCTGTGGCAGGTCACACTCTGGACCTTGTTTTTTCCAGCTGGGTAGGAAGAGGATGATCCGAAAGGGGGACATTCACATCAGTCCCTTGTCATGGTCAGATCACTTCCTGTTGAGTTTTAGGGTCTCAGCACCTTTCCCCCTCTGCAAATGTGTGGGGCCTATGAGGATGGTCTGTCCTCAGGGGTGAAGGATCCAGTTGGTTTCCAGATTTCCCTGGGAGATTTCCCAGCTGATATGACTGGTGGTCCTGTCAGACTGGTGTCCTTGGCATCGTCTCCTGCTTCATGGAGCTTTCTTGGCTTCCTGGTATACTCCATAGCTTAGGGCTAGGAAACAAACTGGGATACTGATTGAATGGAGAGGAAAATTCAAGAAAAATGGAATCACTGGTAAAGGCTCATCACTGAGCTTACCTAGTGGCAGTGAAGGTAGTGTTAGGCCTTTCACACTCTGGCCTGAAGGAGGTGACAGAACCAATGGTAGCTCACTGTGACACATTTAGAGGATAAAATTACTTGCATCCTCTGGGACCTTGACTCTGCTGTTACAGCAGATTCCTCTGAAGGAGTGTCCAGAGCACTATCAAGTCCTGTTGTGTTGGAAAAGGTTGTGGAATACCTTTCCCCATGTAATGAGCGCTGCTGTGCTGTTGGGATCAGGCTTGGTGTGGCAGGAGGGTGAAGCAGAGGAGGGGGCTGAAGTGTGGGAACTGGGTTGGAGGAGGGAGATCACCCCACTTCAGTCACTTGGGGGGGGGCGTAGCAGGGATGTTGTCTCTCTCCTCGGCCTGCCTGAGAAGTGCAAAGCCTCAGTGAAGGCTGAGAAGGACTTTGACCAGTTAGGGGGTCAAAGAGGGAAGCAGGAGTCTGAGCAAGAGGATGCAGCCTTACCTCGTAGAACCAGGTGCTGCCTTTGCAGATGAAAGCAGATCCACCCATGCCAGTGGAGTGCAGACCTGCAATCCTGGTATTCCCACAGGACAATGAAAATGAAATCTGTGGATCTGACATCAAGTGTGATCCACTGGCACTCTGCAGAATTTAGTCCTTTGACATATTGACATTTGACTCCGCACCCCGGCCCATATCTTACTGGAAATCCCTCTGCCTGTCTTCCTGTACTGTTTATGCACAGCTAGGGGTGGGTTCAATCAAACAAGCTTTTTCTTTTCTTTTCCAAATTGTGCGTTTAAAGGGGAACCATTTCAAAAGGAGTCCACTATTGGCGGTTTGAGAAGTCATTAAACTTAAAAGGCCAAAGCAATTCATACACACAGAGAGACACACACACAGGGAGAGAGAGAGCGCGCCAAGTGGGTCCCTTGTGCCGGCACGTAGAGGCGAGTGCTCAGACCGGTAAGAGATTGCTTTCCTGTGCTTTTGACATCAAAAGAAATGGCTTCAGAACAAATTCAGACAGATATGTAGGATTGCCCAAAATTGCACCAAAGGCCAAGGGACATGCTCAGAACAAAATGGGACAATGGAAGGAGCCCCTTCCATGGTGGCCTCTGCACAGTGAATTCTGATGCTCTTACTCAGGACTGGGTTTGAAAAAACTTACCTTATGGAAAGGAGTTCATCTGTTCAATATGCATGGGCAGACTGAACCTTTTGAATAGTGGGCTGTACCTTTCAAAACCGCACTGTTTTTTTTTTGGGGGGGGGTTAAACATGTTGAGGGATGCAGGTGGCACTGTGGGTTAAACCACAGAGCCTAGGACATGCCGATCAGAAGGTCGGTGGTTTGAATCCCCGCAATGGGGTGAGCTCCCGTTGTTTGGTCCTTGCTCCTGCCAAACTAGCAGTTCAAAAGCACATCAAAGTGCAAGTAGATAAATAGGTACTGCTCTGGTGGGAAGGTAAACGGCATTTCCGTGCGCTGCTCTGGTTCACCAGAAGTGGCTTAGTCATGCTGGCCACATGACCCGGAAGCTGTACGCTGGCTCCCTCAGCCAATAAAGTGAGATGACCCGGAGTTGTCCGAGACTGGACCTAATGGTCAGGGGACCCTTTACCTTTAAACATGTTTGTGTAATTAAATGTCATACAATAAATGAAAATAATGATTGAAAGCCAGAATACAGTGAATTGTTGTTGTTGTTGTTGCTGTTGTTGTTACATTTATATTTTCTCCAATGAGCTCAAGGTGGTGTACATAATTCTCTCTCCCTTCATTTTATCCTCACAACAACCCTGTGTGGTAGGTTAGGCTGAGAGATGGTGACTGGCCCAAGGTTATCCAATGGGATTCATTGATCGGGGGGATTTGAACCATAATCTTTCAAGTCCTAGGCCAGCACTTTAACCATTATATCACAATGGGTCTCAACAGAGGGCAGGGTTCGCTTAATTTGTTGTGTGAGTGGAAAGTGGTCTGCTTGTGCAATGGGACTTTCCCCTCTCTCCTCCTATCACACCACCTACATCTGCTCTGGAGGGTTGGGGGAACTCTAAGAACAGGTGGGAGGGGCAATGTGAGAGTGCACAAGGTGAGGTAGAGGGCATTGTTTGAGCAGACCTTGTTCCCCATATGCATACCCCACTCAGTGATACACTGAATTCCACCCAGAGCACTTATTGATGCCTTTTTAAAGAAAATGTACAGGCATGAAATGATCACATCACAATGTCATTAGAACCCATACCCCAGGAATTTAAGTATTGCAATAGTCCTTCCTTGGCATGCCCCCATTCCCTGAAACCAGTCTTCAGTCATTTGTCCACATGTGGCTATATTTTGTTACAGGAGTCTTTACTTCTTATTCATAAAAGAGAGGAAGTCATGGAAAAACTCCCATAAAGAAGATAGGGTGCAGCAGTGTGGGGAAAAGAAAACACAATGGAAAATGGGATGGAAAGTCGACTCGCCACAGCCAGGATGGCCAATGGCTAAGCATGATAGGTGTTGTACTCCAGTAATAGTTAGAGGGTCACAAGTTCCCCACAAGATACACTAACCCAAAGAATTGATTATTCTGCACCACTGTCTCCTCCAAAAACTCTGTTGCAAAGCATCACAGTTTCTTTACCTGGAGTCAATCGTGGATATGCGGATTCATTTAAATGCAATGCATGAGCTCTCTCACACCAAGAACATCACATTTTATGAGCCAGAGATGAACAGCTCCAGAGTCCATGTCACAAGAAGGCCCCCAACATTCCTGAATCCAGCCCTGCTCAAATTACAAATACAACTGAATTATTGACATTAAACAAATATGCTGGCTTTCATCAAGCAGGGTTTTGTTGCAGCTATTTTCTGCTTTTTATTGCTAACTTTCAAAGAATATGTGTTTTCTGTCTATTTTTCACAGCCCACGTCTGGTTGCACCACATAAAAGTGACCCATTCTTGGATGAATTACGGCCGTGTGTTCTAAATACCACTGCTAACAATAGACAGTACAAGGCTATTAGGATGGAGGTGAGAAAACTTTGCCTTCTCGTTGGCTGATGTGTAGGAATTTGTCCTCATTTCAATAATATGGATCCTTTATCCCTGATGTAAATTAGTGGCTTTGCAAAAAGCAAGAATCTAAAGACCAAGAATCCTATTGCACAGTTAGAATCAGAGCCTGCTCTGCTGGGAAAATTCCAGCACCTTCATGGTGCAAGTGGCCCAAGCCAGTATAAAGTGGCTGGGCCAAAAGTGACTTGATGATGAGACCAAGTTAGGGGGTAGTCTGGCTTCCTTGCCTCGTTCTCAAATAAAATGGCTGAAAAGTGGCAGGGGGCATAATCCCAGGAAAGAACAAAACAGAAGTCTTTTTTAAAAATATAATATTTATTTTAAAAAATGCTTTTTTCCTTTATAACAACCAAATAAAATTTCTTCATCACATATATCTTTGCTCAAATTGAGCTTTGACTTCCTCTTGTCTCCCTCCCTGACCTCCATATGTAATCACTTTTATCTTAGCATTTCTAAATCACCCTCTTAACCTTATCCCCATACTTAAAAAACTTATTTCTAATGTTTATAAACAGGTATCAAATAATAACCTAACAAAATATTTTAAATCAATCCTGCAAATGTTTTCAAATGTTTACAATGTTCCTTCATATATTGTACAAATTTACTCCAGTCCTTTTCAAACAGTTCGTCGCCCTGGTTTCAGATTTTCCCCATCAGTCTTGCCAGTCTGGCGTATTCAATTATCTTCGTCTGCCGTTCTTCCAACATTGGAAGTTCCTGCTACTTCCATTTCTGGGCTAAAAGTTTCCTTGCTGCAGTGGTAGCATACATAAATATATTTATGTCTTTTTGGGGAATTTCTTCCCCTATTATCCCTAATAAAAAGGCCTCTGGTTTTTTACTAAAGGTATTTTTGAAAACCTTTTTCAATTCATTATATATCATATCCCAGTAGCCTTTAATCTTAGGACACGTCCGCCACATATGAAAGAAATTCCCTTCCAAGAACAAAACAGAAGTCTTGATGGAACTGAGTTCAAGGGAGCACCTGTAGTAGGTGGGGTAGCTCAGTTGGTAGAGGGATAGCTCTGTTGGTAGAGCATGAGACTCTTAATCAAAGGGTCATGGGTATGAGCCCCATGTGAGGCGAAAGATTGGTCTAGATGATCCTTGTGGTTCCTTCCCACTATTCTATGTTTCAAGAAACAGAGGATGCCCAGCTTGTGTTTATTTTTATTTGCAGTATTTATAGGATGCTTTTCACTGAACCCAGGGAAATAATAAGACCACTCTATTCTGCTTTGATCAAACCCCACCTGCAGTATTGTGTCCAGTTCTGGGCCCCACAATCTAAGAAGTATATTGATAAGCTGGAACATGTGAAAAGGAAGGCAATCAATACGATCAAAGGTCTGGAAACCAAGCCTTGTGAGGAATGGTTGAGAGAGTAGGATATGTTTAGCCTAGAGAAGATTGAGAGGTGATATGGTAGCCGTCTTCAAATATCTGAAGCGCTGTGGTGTGTTACAGCTTTAAATGTTTAGTGTAAATGGGACCTTGTTTTAGCTAAACATTCCTGGGCATTGTTCATTGTTAAATATTTGCAGGGAGTCACCAGAGAGACAATGAGATGTAATACTGTTTTGCAGAGTTTATTGTTTTTGATCTCTGACCCTAGGCAGGCCTCCCTAAAACTTGCTGCCTGAAAGCTAGGGATTTATGTTTTCATCTTCCTCTAATCTTTGCTTCTTGTCTGCCTCCTGGAGGGAGAGCAGAAAGGCAGCACCTGCAGCAACATTCAAGGACTTTGGCATCTGGTTGATTTCACAGCCACCCTCCTCCTGTAACGTTGCATTATTCATTCACAAGCGCCTCCTATTTATCATGTGCAAACAGCGTTCTTCGCTGAGCATGTAGTGCGAGGTATCCGATAATGAAACTATCACACTTATGAATTACTTCCAGCCATAGAAGTGATTGGGTCAACACAATTCCTAACATAATTTAGCAAAGAACTTCTCAACAAGTGGTGCAGTTTGGGCTTGAAAAGGAGCTTTAGAAAACATGAAAAGAAAATCTTGTGCTTCCTTTGGATGTGTGAAATGGTATGTTGGCAGGCCAGTTAGGCCTCTTCATCTAGTCACTGACGTTAGCTAGCTTGAGTATCACCTAGGCTCGCTCTGCCATTTGCTCCAAGTGTCCACACTAGGTATCTGCTCTGAAACTGCCATTCTTTAATCACAGAATCATATAATTGTAGAGTTGGAAGGGACCCCAAGGGCCATCTACTCCAACTCCCTGCAATGTAGGAATCTCAGCTAAAGTATCCATGACAGATGGCCATCCAACCTCAGTATAAAAACCTCCAAGAAAGGAGAATCCACAACCTCCTGAGGGAGACAATACCACTGCTGAACAAGTCGTACCATCAGAAAGTTTTTTCTGTTGTTTAGTCATAATCTCCTTTCCTGTAACTTGAAACCATTGGTTCAGGTCCCACCCTCCAGTGCAGGAGAAAACAAGCTTGCTCCATCTTCCATGTGACAGCCCTTGATATATTTGAAGATGGCTATCATATCTCCTCTCAGTCTCCTCTTTTCCAGGCTAAACATACTCAGCTCCTTCAACTGTTCCTCATAAGGCTTAGTTTCCAAGTCCCTTCCACCCATAATACCACTGTAATTTTATCCTACTTCAGAACTGAAATAAATGAATCAGAGTGGAGATATTTGGGACATCCTAAACATCTTTTGGATCTGGGTCAATTACAGAGATCTAATTTGGCCTGTTAGAGGAAACAGAACCATTTTTAGGTGGGAATTCCCCAAGGCCTATCTTTTACCGTTAAAGGAAAAAGTTTAAAAATAAGATCAGAGTGGAGATAAAGAAAAATTTCTGAAAGAACACGGAGAAGACCTGCAAAAGAGCGAAGAAGGCCAAGAGCTTTAAACCAGGAATACAAGACATAACGTGCCACTACCCTTGGGATCGGACCAAGTTAGAAAGGTGACACCACCGACAGAACAAAGAACAATTACTTGGCGCAGTTGGAGGAAAAGCAAAATAAATACACCATGTCCCTGCAACTATTAAGTTAGAATAGCTAATAGTTAACTCCAGGAGAAAAAAGTCTTTCCACACATTTATTGAAAGACAATTGGACTTGATTTGCTTACTAGAAGGCCACATGTGATAAGGCTTCATAGGAAAGTATTGATTAATAAGGTGGGTCAGAGTTATTTCATTGGACAAGGTTAAAAGAGAGGAGTAGTAATTTACGAAAGGCCTATCACCAAAGGAATTTATTTTAAGGGTAAATAAAAGGAGGAATGCAGCAATTAAATCAAAACAGGAGAAAAATTTTTGATAGTAGGAGTATATGCACCAAATGAAATCTGATTTTTAAGAAGTTGCATGAGACATTGTTAGACTATATGGATTACAACATTATCATGATGGGAATGAATGGAGTGGTATCTACAAACATGGACAAGTCGCAGAAGACAGGTAGTTGCAGAATGTGAATTTACCAAAACCTTTTGAGATGACTGACAATATGGACTTAGTTAACATTGGAGGAATAAAGTCCCTTGGGCAGAGAGGGCCTTCTTCTCTAAATAAAATAGCTATGGACAAGAATTGACCAAATTTGGATAACTAGAGGACTGGCACCTAAGACCAAGAAAGTGAAAATTTGCCCTAAAACGTGCTCTGACCATAATGCTGTGAAAATGGAGATGAAATTAGCACCTACGGTTCCTTCAGATGGAGGATGAATGACACCTTGTTTAGAGATCAAGAGGTTACTGAAGGTAAAACCTTGAGAGACTATTTAGGAATAAATATGAACACCACCGACACTGAAAAGAGTAATCTGGGACGCAAGCAAAGCAGTTATGAGGGGGTTTCTAATTCAACAGAATGTAATAAAGAAGAGAACTCAAAATGAGAAAAAAGATCTGTGGTTATTTAGGGGCTTAAAAACCCTTCTACATCAGTTTGTTCTTTGTAGACAGACTGTGCGTAATTGAGGTATTTTAAGGCAACTGTTCTTTTAAATTGAAAGCTTCCGGTTTGTAAGTTTAGTTCATTTTGTTGGTTTCTTGCTCTGGAGAATGAGTAATTGATTGCTTATTTAGTCAGCTTTGAGCTGACTATGAAACCAATGAAATGGGCTAGTCCTGCCAACAGGAAGCTTTCAATTAACAGCAGCAAGGATGTTTGTTAACAGTGCAACCCTAACCATGTCTACCCATGAATCTGAAAAGGGCTTATTCTCAGTTAAGGGGGTTTGGATTACAGGCTAAATGGAATTTACCCGTGAGCAGACATTAAGAACCACCATGGCCACAGGGAAAGGTATTGCTAGGTGATATTATGCTCTGTTAAGTGCTTGTGTGGAAACTCTGCTTTAATTACCTCAGTTTTGTCATTTCCCACCTCTATTTTTTCTCCCTGTTCCCTGTCCTTTGGAAATGCCTTATTAATTCTTTGTTTCAGTGAGTTGCCAGAATTAGTTGTCATTCTTCATGTGTTCAATGCATCCCCTGAATCTACAAAAGCTAAATCTCCAGTGGTGGATGTATCTTATCTTTAGTGCACACACACACACACACACACACACACAGAGAGAGAGAGAGAGAGAGAGAGAGAGAGAGAGAGAGATGCCCAAGGACTGAACCACCCAATGCATTAAACACATAGAAGCTGCAGAGGTATATCTTGAACTGTTAATAATATATAGTCCAAAGACTGTGTTTTCCTAGTGTGCCTTGAATTCAGAGCAACAACCTGCTTTCCTTTTTAATTTTTCATAGGACAAGCTGTTGTAGAGTAAACAGCATGACATTTTTTGCAAGTAGACTAGGGCTTTCAACCACATGTACTAATGAAAGTAGGATTCAGGCAGTGGTCCTACATACAGATAGGAGCCCCTGTTTTCAATTGTGAAATGTTTCTAGAGCAGGCGATGGGTTTAAATACTTCAGGACGAAGTATTGCCTTGCCTCTTTAGAGCTTAGAGATAAGATTATTAATTTCAGAGATAGTTAGTAGAGGAGCAGGAGATGGGAAATGTAGCCCCCTGCTGTTGTTGGATCCCAACTTCCATCAGCCCCAGCCAGCATGGTCAGTGGTGAGGGATGATGGGTGCTGTAGTCCTATAGTACTTGGATGGCCACAATATCCCCACTCCCTCTGCTAGAGCATAGTGTCTCCTGCACAATTAAATGTGAATGGCCTCCTCCTCATGAAATCACAGAATTATAGAATCATATAATGGAAGGGTTGGAAGGGACCACTCATGCAATGCAGGAATCTTTTGCCCAACATGGGGCTTGAACTCTTAATCCTGAGATTAAGAGTCTCTTGCTCTACCAACTGAGGTATCCCAGGTTTTTGTTGCAGAAGGCCCCCCAAACTAATTTTTAAAAATGGATGAGATGTGCAGGAGCTCTTATATAAACGAGTGCAACATCACAAGGTATAGTGCCAGTATGTTTACCTGAGGCCACAGCCACACCATACATTCAAAGCCCCATAATGCCACTTTAAAGTGTCATGGCTTCCCCCAAAGAATTCTGGGAGCTGTAGTTTGTCAAGGTTGCTGAGAGTTCTTAGGAGACCCCTCAGAATAATCTGGGAAGAGGCAGCTCTCAAAGGGGAGTGCAAGCCTCCCCACAGCTCTCAGCACCCTTAACACACTCCTAGAATTCTTTTGGGGAAGCATGACTGTTTAAAATGTATGATGTGGATGTGGGCAGAAAGGGGTAGAAAGGAATTGTATCAAATGTAGAGTAGCTGTAGCTGAAGGGTTGAGATTTGCATGACAAAGTTCTCTGCCCATGTCAGTAAAAATGGCAGGTTGGGGGAAGAGTGGCTTGATTAAGACCAGTGCTTCGCCAGGGGTACTCAAGGGTACACAGTACCAGTACCTCAAAAGGGGGTGTGGCACTTACTGCAATAACTTCATGGTGAGTACCGGCACCTATTTTTCGGGGGGAGAGCCCTGACTAAGACCCTGGAGAACTGCTTCCCATCAGAGTAGGCGGAGTAGGCAGGCACTAGAGCAGATGGAATAATAGTCAGTACAGTGGTGGCAGGTCCCCAGTGGCACTAGTGGAGTGGAAGACAAGTCAAGCAACAGTGGGTGGGCCCAGAGCCAATGAGAGACAGAGGAGTGGTGGACTTGGGTACTATGGCATCCTGTGCAAGGCCAACATTTGGCACGCCCCTTCCCAGCCCTTGTGCTGCCTTCCCAAATGTGGGTAAGGAAGATCCCCGCTTTGGGAAGCAGTTGCAAGGGCTTGGGCAGGCTCCTAGAGCCCTACCTCCTTACCAAAGCTGGGAAAACACTAGCTAGGCTTTGGGAAGGAGAAGGGAGGACTCTAGGACGCTGCCAGAGCCTCACACCTCCTTCCCAAAGCCCAGCACCTCGCTTACCAGGCTTTGAGACAGTGCCTAGTGCATGTGCACCATTCACACAGCTGTAAATTCGCCCTTGGACAGAGCCATCCCCTGATTGGTTGTAAGAATGCAGTCAAGTGGTGGTGGACTAAGGTAGGTGAGACAGTACTTTATTTGCCCTAATGTACCAGTCTCCAATGTCATGTTACAAAGGAGCTACATAGTATAGAAGATGCTAGTTTCCACTCTTGACAACAGTGCCTCCCTATGTTACACAGTATGTTCATCTGTGAATCGCACTGGATTTTTCACCCTGTATGGATTTCTTTTTTTAAAAAGCACAATTTAATTAAATATAACACAAAATAAATGTAGAGCAAGTGTGCAGTGTCTGATACAATCATTTATAATAGATATTCAATCTCACCATAACATGCAATTTCTCTATCAAAAGATTTTGCTTCTTAAACATATATTAAAAACGAAGAGTTGCCAAATAAAGATTTGACAACTGTTTGGAAAACCTTTTCAGCTTCTTGCCTTTCTTTCTTTCTTTTTATTTTTTTATTTTTTTTTAAGAGGAAGGGGGAAATCATTTTTGAAACATGGTTATAATTGATTAAACAGGAAATTAATCTGTGGGTATATTGTATTAAGTATGAATAGGTTTAATTTCTCCTGTCATGGATTTTATGAGTTTGAAATATGGCAGTATTAAAGATATCAAAGAAAGGAACTTAGACAATGATGAGCAGTATTCCCCCCTCCTTTTCAGGACATTAATATTAGCAGTTTTCATATGGATGAGGGTGTTTGGAATCAAGGAAGAATAGTCTCCCCCTTTCACCTTGAAAATGCACAGCGACAAGAGGCAGCCCAAATTAGAACAAGTTATTGAGCACTACTCACGGGTTCTCTCATTTTGATGAGACATTCTACACCTTCATTGGGATTTCATTTATGTAGACACAGGGTGAGGAACTTTATTCAGTCTGAGGGCCGCATTCTCCTCCATCAGGCCTCCTCTCCCTTCAACTGTCATATGGGGGCAGCCATTCCCTCTGACTGCCTCAGCTTTGCTGGAGGCCCAGCTCCATCAGGCACCTCCTGCCCCTGAACTGTGCCAACTGGTCACTACAGGAACTACTGTTTAGAAATTGGTACCTAGGTTTTTATTTTCCTCTTACTTCCCTGTCCCTTTGCCCAAGCATCCAGTTAAGGACTGTCTTGTTTTGATAATGTGTAAGCTAGAAGAGTTTAGAAGAGTTCTTGCCTGACAAGTGGGGTAGAAATGATGATGATGATGGCAATATCCCTCATAGGCAGCCTTCTGGCAGCTACATGCTAGTGACAGATGGGGCCAGTGGCAAAAGTGAGTGTAGCTATAGATGTAAATATTACCTTTGTACAGTAGCTAGTTTCTACACATACACACACACTCCATCAAGGCAAGAGGAAGCAGTCTCAGAAGTTAAGGACAAATCCAGTTTGGCAAAAACAAAACTCCGGAAAGGGGCAAGTAGGGATGCTAAAAGGCGTGACTGCAGAGACATATACAGTGGTACCTTGGGTTAAGAACCTAATTCATTCTAGAGGTCAGTTCTTAACCTGAAACTGTTTTTAACCTGAAGCACCACTTTAGCTAATGGGGCCTCCCTCTGCCGCCGCCGTGCGATTTCTGTTCTCATCCTGAAGCAAAGTTCTTAACCTGAGGTACTATTTCTGGGTTAGCGGAGTCTGTAACCTGAAGCATCTGTAACCTGAAGCGCCTATAACCCGAGGTACCACTGTAATAATAATAATAATAATTTATTATTTCTACCCTGCCCATCTGGCTGGGTTTCCCCAGCCACTCTGGGTGGCTTCCAACAAAAGATTAAAAATACATTAAAACATCAGTCATTAAAAACTTCCCTGAACAGGGATGCCTTCAGATGTCTTCTAAACGTCAGATAGTTGTTTATTTCTTTGACATCTGATGAGAGGGCGTTCCACATGGCAGGTGCCACTACCGAGAAGGCCCTTAGCCTGGTTCCCTGTAACCTGGCTTCTCGTAGTGAGGGAACCGCCAGAAGGCCCTCGGTGCTGGACCTCAGCGTCTGGGTTGAACAATGGGGGTGGAGACGCTCCTTCAGGTATACTGGGCTGAGGCCATTTAGGGCTTTAAAGGTCAGCACCAACACTTTGAATTGTGCTCGGAAATGTACTGGGAGCCAATGTAGGTCTTTCAAGACTGGTATTATGTGGTCTCAGCAGCCGCTCCCAGTCACCAGTCTAGCTGCTGTGTTCTGGATTAGTTGTAGTTTCAGAGGTCATAGCGAGGCACCCCTAGGCCTAAACAACCTTCCCCAACCTGGTGCCTTCCAGATGTTGTTAGATCTCAACTCCTATCCATAAGAAACTGAAATGGATATATTTGCCCATCCCTATGCAGGGCAGAAGGTTGCACTCCACCTTCCATGCCCTGAATTTATTTACCCTGCTCTAACTTGCCTTCTGATTCTTTCAAACTCCAGAGGTTGGTTGTTCCTTGATTAAAGAAATACTGGAAAAATGCAACAGACAGGGCTATGTTAAAACTCCCTCTCCATTTTCACAGTCTCATTCATGGGCCACATATCTGATATGTGGGGGGAGGATTTATTCTGTTCCCCAGGGATGGAGCAAATTGCTAGGGGGAGACACCATACACACTCCCTTCTCCAGCTCCTTCCTCTGCCAGCTTCTGGTTTAAATAGTGCCTGCTAGCATAGACCCCTTGCACAATTCAACACACACAGAGCTTTTATCAGACCTTACAATGAAGATAAAAAAACACATCTCCTCTCCCCACTCCACTCATTCATACAATGTCTGCAAGTGGCTTAATTTTCGACTCATTGTCCCAGGTTTCTTTTTTTCACATTAAGGAGGATTTGAGCACACATCCCTCCTCTTTCACAGTTTTAAAAGCACAGCCATGGAAAAATAGGTACCTTATACTGAGACAGTCCCACATGTCTATCTAGCTCAGTGTTGTCTACTCTGACTGCTAGTTTGTCTTCCATGGTTTCCTGCTGGGATCCTGTCCTAATTGTATCTAGAGGTGTCACTGGGGATAGGACCTGGGACCTTCTGTTTGCAAAGCAAAAGCTCAGCCGATAAACTACATCCCTTCCCAAATCCACACTGCTTCCTCCTTTCTGTTTCTGGTGCATATATAAGCCCCATTGATTTCAATGGGTTTTGCTCCCAGGAGAGTCTTATAGGATGGCTGCCTGATTTTTCTAGCCCTACCTGGAGATGCCAGGGATTTAACCAGGAGCAAAGCAGATGTTTTGCCGCTGAGCTATGAAAATATGGAATGTTTATTGGATGTGCATGGCATCCCAGCGAGAGGGCCATGCTGATCCAACTGCATCATTGCAGTTTTAGTATCTGTGCTGTCATTGCAAGTGTAGTCCTACAAGCCCTGCACAGTGCAAGATTGATCTGTATCTACACATCACCTCTGAGTAGCGTTTGCCACTTGGCAATAGGTGGCGGACATGTTTTTTAAGCCTAATCACAGATGCACACTGGAGAGTTTGATATGGTGGGAGATGAACGGGCTGGCATCCTTGTTGCATTTATTTCCATCTAGGGCCATCTGCGTGGCAGTCCTTCATCCTTATCTCAGAAGGCAAATCTCTCCTTTGTTTTTCAGTGTGATGCCCCGTCTCTCAGCAACTTGGCCTGTGGAACCGTGACAAGTGGTAATGAAAGGGTTTAGCCCACCTGTACAAGATGAGCTATGGGATTCAGATACCAAGGCGACAGGCTGCCATGATTCATTCCGCTCTTTGTACTCCAGACATTAAAAATAATGGTAGGGTGTCAGAGCCCAAGTAGAGCTATCATCGCATCTGTAATGATAAAATCCCCCCAACTGAGAGAGCAGAACACAAGGAAGCAGCCTTATAGCGAAGTAGGACCACCAGTCCAGTTCTAGCTCACTGTTCAACAGAAGCT